TAAAATGTAAACATTCCACAGTAATGATCTTGACGCTACAGAGAATTCTCCATAAATTGCATATAAAATTTTTCGTGTAATCCACCCAGACATTAATGGCTTCTAATAAATGTGATACACTCTGCAATTCTCCCTGCAGCTTCTCTTCCCCTTCATAACTTGCATGGTAGCAGTTAATTGAAATGAACAAATAAAAAACCCCAAAAGTTTTTTGACATAGATATTATCCTATGGGTTCCACTAAAGTTATTCTTGATGCATACCAACATGAAGAAGTCAGGTCTGTATATTCAATATGGTGGAGTTCAAACACATGCATATTTGCACCCCAAACTGCAAAACAAACATTCAGATGCCTAAGATGGGATAAATTATTCCCTCCAAATTCTACTTATTTATTTCAATCACTTCAAGACAGCGAAATTTTAACTTCAGAACTGCATCAGCACATATCCACTTCTGAGTTTTGATTCATATTCTGTAGAGCTCAATCAAGTTTTTTTCTGTGGGTTTTGAAAGCCATTCAGGGATATTTGTTAAAGAAGCTAAATACTTGCACTAAATATTAAAAAAAATTATTAATTTTCTTAATTATCCTTTCTTCATCACTTTCTAGAGTCATAATTTCCTTTTCCTTATTAATACAACTTATAAAAACTATTGTGAAAAGACAAAAACAAATTAACTTTTTCCCTGTCATTTACAAACTGTGATCTCTTGTAGAAAATTATTTATACTGATTTGGGATACAGATGCTTTTATTCTAATACAGTGTTATCAGAGTTTTATAATAAACTATAGCTAGAAGCAATTGGGAGTCTAACAACTAAGGGCAGCCACAGCAGGATTCTGGATTACCTCCACAGCTATAAATTCAGAACGGTGTTAGTATGAACTCAACCCAGTTTAAAACTAGTACAGCTAGAAACAGTTCATTCACTGAAATTGTTCCTTACTTTTACCAGTGCAAAAGAAAATAATCAAAACCACTACATTCCTTTGTTTTAACAATAACAACAAATAAAATAGAGTAGGAAATTGCAAAGTGATGGAAGAAATTATTACGTTGACATAGAAAATCAATAGAAAGAAATTCCGCAATCTTCTAAAGTCTCAAAACAAAAGGTTTCAAAAAGCCTTAACTGGTATGATTTTCTAACAGCAGATAGCAGCATGATCTTAAAATAGATCTATGCATGGAAATCATGAAGAAATACAAAATATCACAAGGTTCAATATTTGATCCTGCCAGATGCTGAACTCTCTGGCCCTAGCCCAGCAAACCATTTAAGCATGTGGTTAGAAGTCAGTATGCATCTTGCCCCATTGAAGCAAAGGAAGTTATTCAAAATTTGAGCACAGATAAGTGCTTTGAATGATTGGGTCATTAAAGTGCCAGCCACTTACTGCCAGAGTATAAGGCTAAATTGCTGCTATGAGCAGGTTGTTGCAGAGCTGTCCCATTATGAGGCTTAAAGACGGTCTTTGAAGTGTGCTTTGAAGCATTTCTTCACCACTGGATAAGGAAAAAAAAAGGTGGCTCTGTCTGGGCAGGAATTTCCTACATTCCCATCAATTCACTTTCATGTGCAAAACCAAACTATATTGATGCCCAGGTATAAGCATCTCTTTGGGAAACAGAAAGTGTTATCAATGATAATGATAATGATATCATGCCATCGCACTCCCACCATACATATGCACCCCATTAGAGCCAACTTCCTCCTGTGTGCAGGGCTGGCATTAACTCAACTCACTATGAAAAGGGTAAAGTCATGCAAATAGCAAATGCTACACGTCATATTTATCATCACTTGAAGCTTCTAAAATGATGCTTGATGACAAGTAATGTTGCTGCCTGGTAAAACTGGTGTTATGAAAAAAATTACTTAAGCTTTCTCAGCAGTAAGGAGAACTTGCAATTTTACCTCAAGGCCAGGAACAAGACCGGTTATAAAAGCACATTTGTAGCTTTTGTTCTGACAGTTGTGATTATGTGTGTTCACTAAAATATATATCTTGGAGGAAACCAAGGCAGGCTTGTTGTGCTAGGAAATATGTGCCAGGAAATGTCCAACCCTAGAAATAAAATCCCTTTCCTCAACTTTTGTGACTTCTTCAAAGGTAATGTAATAGTTGCAAAAAACTAGGAATAAACTCATAATCTTATTTTAATTATGGATTTCTACACGTAACAATGTGTCTCTTCCAATCAGATCTCAACTGACATGACAACACTGCCATTGAATTGGGGTTTTGAGTGGTTTGGGGGGTGGTTTTTTGTCATGGGCATGTGAGGGATCAAGAGCTACCTTATTTTCACAGGAGAAGAAACTTACTTTATTGTTAGAAATTCTCATGCTGAGGTGTCACAGTTATTTTGCCTAGAAATGTCGATCCGTGCAACAACTTTTTAATACAGAGAAAAGGAATATACTGCTATGGCAGCTTGGTAAGGCCCGTGTCCTGAAACATTTGCAGTTGTGGACTAGAAGAGGTTCTTTAAGGGAGCCGAAGCATCTCTCTTGCCACTGGGCTTTCTAAAAAATGGCAAAATCTAGGTTAGAAGAACATCATTTGATGAGTGTTATGTAATATAAAGTTCCTGTTTGTCAGATACTGAGACCTTGGCATAATAATATCCTTTAGCTGGGACTGCTCCTGAAATAGTAGAACACCTTACTACTTCAGTGCTAAATGCTGTTGACTGACTCTCTTTCCAGTCTGTCCAGCTGAAAATGCACGGGTTTTAATTACCATATCTGTTAGCTCTGATATCACCATGTCCACTTTTGATGAAGGCAAAAAAAACCCAAACCACTGTACCCCTGCACAGTTATTCAAGATCAGTCCAGCCATTGAAACTGACAGGTTCTGTCAGTAAGAAGCCAAGCACTGTCAAACTGTATTTGAATCCTTTGTTCAAAAAAAGCAGAAGATATAAGAACTTATCTCTTTTAGGTTATCTGCTAAAAACTACTTATGTAATACAGCTATGGGTTTGCATTTGGATCAAACATTAAGAATATTTTCTTTTTTTGTTGTTTGTTTGTTTTTTTGTTTGGGGGGGGTGTTTTTTTTGTCCAAGTGCAACCAGCCTTACTCTATAGAAGAAAAGTTTTCTTGTAAGATGTGGGACTCCTGGGCTACAACTCAAATTGCTCTGTTTGGCTATGGCTTGTCTCCATGGTTTATAAAACTCAATATACAAAAATAGACACAACTTAAAAACACAAATACATGGGGAGGAAGTAAATACATTTGACCTCCACATATGCCAACTAAAAGCTGATTTCCAAGTGATGATGATTTGGGAGAGATGGGACAACTTCATGCAAAGCAGACCTGAGTAGACTGGTAAAATACCAGCTGACATTACCCTGGTAAGGCATTTTAGAACATTTTCCATTCATAAACTTTAAAAAGTTGCATAAATCTAGAGCCTTGTTTCCCAAATGAAGTTAGAATATTAAACTATGTGCCAGAGAACGCACAGCAGATTAAGTGTGAAACTATTGATCCAGGTCTCTACTTGACTTGCTCCATTGGACTACAGAGGTGTTTTTTGGACATCCCTTTTGGATCATTCTTTAATTAGGACCTCTGCTCCTTCAAATATATTTCACCTTACAAACTGGCACAAAGTTATATGCACAGATTGACATAAGCCTTATCAAGATCAAAATTTACACAACCATCCGTTTTGTATGGTGAATACATCATATGCCATATGAATTATCAATGTTATGTTATTTAAAAAATTATTCCACATTAAACACATTTAGAATACTAAAATTGGATTGCCAGTGAATTTCATAAAAAAATAAATCCCCAGTGATAAACAGGAAACTTCCAGCTCTAGCATCCTAGGGGCAATATTCCATGAGGAAAGACAGCAAGAGGAAGATGGGCTTCAACCCAAACTCCGTGAAGCCAGTGGTAATAATGGTATTGATAGTATTGGGCTAGACCTTCAACTTTTGAATGGCCTTGAAGGAGAAAGACAAAGTGAAGAGTGGAGAACAACAGGCCCACCTGGGCCTGATATGATCTCAATAGTTCAGTTAGGCACAGGGTAACCACAGATACAGATGTAAAACTTCTTCCAATGGAAATTTGGGGAAAATTTCTAGAAAAACAGAACAACCTTTTCTTAGATGGTACATGTGAACTGAGCAGACAGATTATAGCTTACTCTTGCCTTGAAAACTGTGGATTTTGGAGGAAAAAGCTCTACAGCATCATAAGGGCACAAGCACTTGGCTTAGAGTTAAAACCATTTTCCTCTCTTCCTCAGTCTCCATCACTAAACTAAAAAGTATGGATCTAGTATTAATTAGGCAGATATGAAAACTTAAACCAAGAAATCATTTTGAGATGACCTGGCTCAGGTTTCAAATTGAACCATTTTAAGATCTAAAAATAGAGTTCATCCTACAGAAGGACTGAGTCACACCTCTTCACCTAGAATCAATTAAGCATAGCTTGAATGTGATCAGTGGACTGAGAGAGCTGGAGGACTCTCCCTTCACCTTTCACTCACCTTTATAAGTCAGGAAAAAAGAGAAAGACAGGTGCATTCACTGTTCATGTATTCAAGTTGCCTGTATTTTTATTGTGGAAACATTGAGCAGTAAGTAATTAAAATCTGCCCTGAACTAAAGGTAGGTAAACATTCTTTCTAATGGTTTAGACCCCATATCTCAATACTGAAAGCTCACAAGCTGAAAAGCTCTTTGGTCTGACACTTTAAATTATTTTAATGACTGCTATTTTATATTTTCACTCTTTCAGCCCACAGCAATTGTTCTAAATTTCAACTTTGCTATTCAATTAGCACATGGGCCACATAAAACTCTTCTAGTTTCCTGCTCTGATGGGATCTGCACATTTTAAATTCTGCTTCCCAGTGCACTTGTGTATGAGTCTTCAAAATCCTCTCTGCCAGTAAAACTGAATTATTTGATTATTCCAAGAAAACAAACACCAAAGGGACATAAAAAGATCAAGCTGAGTTTATTTAAGATTTGGATGAACATCCATGCAACACTCTTGGCATTATAAGCCCAGCTCTTTTTAACACTGTGGTGGTACAGCATTTTGGATAATGTGGTGCCTAAGTTAGGCAGGTTCACTCAGCATCTTCCTCCAGGGTGCAGTCATAGACCGATTGTATAACCCAAGTGAGTTTATCCACTCACTCACTGTAAACTCGGGCCCTGCTTAACTTCCTTGATAGAAAAGAATTAAAGGAGAAAGTTGTTCAAAGCATTAAAATGTGCAATTTCAATGCAAGGCATGATGGAAGTAGCTGTGTGGGAGGATATTACTTCATTGTTAACCTAAATCAGTGCACAAAGATTTCTATCATCTCCAGAGACCATTCCATCAGTCTCTACAAGAGGCTTTCCATTGAAGAAGACTAGCGCCCTGTCCCTTCAGGCTTGAGAAAGTTGTATGGCTTTTCTTAACAGTTTCTAACGAAATCATGTATTATTGCTTCTCCCCGGGAGACTTTAAAAGTCACGCAAACTTCACAGAGCGCACATGTTCATAAACCTCAACCAAAAGACCACTAAGGAAATAATTTGCAGTTATCCAATTAGCATTTGACATTCTCTACTGGTTTTTGGTGAGGTGAATTTGTCTTTCTTCTAAACCATGCTGACAAATGAGTTACTAAGCCTGGCATTATTTTATGTTTTACGGTACACTGAAATCAAATGTTTCAGTGTGGGATTTGCTTTCTGCAAAATATTTGGGGGAGACATGAAACACACCTAGGTGTTCCAAACATGTTAAAAGGGTAATATGCACATGAATATTTTCTTCAAGCTCCTCATTGTGCATTCACGGTTACTGCCAAGCACAACAACAGAGATGGGGCATTAGGATATGAAATGGGAAGTGGTCAGATTTTCAAAGTGAGCTGTTGGGTGCCTAGCACTTTCAAAAATCTGGCCCTGACTCTTTGGTGCTGTTCCAGAAAGAAATATCTCTATCCTGGCCATTGTTCAACCAGCTTTGGAAACCATTTTGCACAGTTATTTCAGTAAAGCAAAAAAGCCAATCCCCAGCTTTCTCTGCCTGATTAAGCACTGTCACCAATCACTATGCAGCTCTAAGGCACACATGAAATATTCCTAGATAAATCCTCCATCTCCAGAGAAATGTGTTTCCTGTACAACTGTAAATCCAGGCTCTGTGTTGAAACTAATCCAGCCTGGCAGTGCTATAGCCCTAGAAAAGTTTCCTTGGTAACAACAAACTTATGCAATGGTAAAGTCATCCAATCTTTTCATGCCACAATATTATATTAAAAACACCAGGTTTATTTATACAACGACTTACAGATCAGGGTCCTAGAAATAATAATACATAAAATTTATAGCAAAAAATATACATATTATAATTCATCCTTCTATAGTATATAGAAATTATGTATAATTGTGTGGACATATATATAAATATATGGGTCATACTTACGTTTAGGGAACTTGTGTATGGACACGTGTCCAAATACACACAGTATACATTTATATATCTTTCTAGGTGCCACATGTGTGTTCTTAGAGACACACAAATATGCACAGAGGAGCATATTTGCACTCTGTGAGTAAATGTTTACTTTGCAGAATTTGCACACAAACAGCTGGAGTCCTTCACTGGTTGTGAGCATGAAAGGGGTCAGTGACCACCTGCATTAGTGTCCACGGAAAGAGAATGAATGTCACCGCTGTGGGCAGAGGACTGGTTTGATGCATCTTCCTCTGTGAAGAACTAAATTTGCTGGGCAGTGACACCCTGCAACACAGGGCTTGTTGCATGGTCCAATTTCATTCCAGTTGTCACATGTTTTGACACATCCCGGACCACAGGTATCATAAACTGCACCGTGTTTACACTGGGTTGCTGAAAGGAGTTAAAAGAACAAAATATGCATATTACACAGAGCTTCACAAGGAAATTTGCTTATCTGTTTGCTTAGTTTCTACTGCAAATATAAAAAAGCATATTTGGCATGATGATTATCCAGAGGAAAAAAATTACTTGTAAAACGATTCTACTATATTACATAGTAAATATAAAAGTAGCAAAATTCCTTATCAAAAGCTATCAAGTCCACAGCAGTATTGAACTTTCCGATAATTTTAACAAAGCTAATGGTATATAAAGCTTTGGCAAAGTTTCTATCTATACGCAGATCTACTCTTGATATTAAAGGATTAACAATATTTACTACAATGCGTTTTATCAAAGTTTTCTGAAACATTTACAAGGACAGACAGTTATTATCAGTTCTGGTCCTACAGAAAGAAGAAGAGAAAGGAGAGTCATTCACCCCATTAGAATTTCTGATCCTATGATTATACTTTCTGTATTTGATATTGCGGCAAACTAAATCAATGTTGTTAATCCAGAAGCACCATTTCTAAAACAAAAAAAACCCCCGAAAATTAAAAATCAATTGTATCCATGCTTTGTCCTGTTTTACCAAGGGATCACTGACAGTAAGGATTCCTGTACTTAATGATTCCAGTATCTATTCATTACTTTGTGTAGCTGACAGTTCAATGCATTTTAAATATAAAAGATCACTGAAGGCTCAGCTAAAAGCACTATAATTGCTCCAGATCAATATTAAAACTTTCAACATTTTATATCCTTTATATTTATATGCCTTTTTAGTATGGAGAATAATACACAGTTCGATGGCAAATAAAAGTCTGTTATTCTTTTTAACAGCTGTGCTGATGGCAAAAACAAGGAGTGATAAAATAGTTCATATATGGTAAGGGACTCTCCAGAATTGTCTCATGCTATTTTCAGAGAGGTAATTGTATTAGGAAGGTTTCTTCAATTTGAGAAAGACTGAAGGTCAAGTTTTTTTAAGTGACAATTCTGTTATGGACAAAAACCACTGTTTTGTTGTGAGAATTGGCCTACAGTGCCATTACAGTACTGTTATTATTCATAAAGAGAAAAGAAATACATTGATTAAATATATATGAGTGTATCAAAGAGAATTTATGATATCTTATTGCTAAGACATCATAAATTTAAGGGGTTTCTTTCACCACAAAGGGAATCTTCAAAACAGCATCAGCTTCTTTCAAGTTTTATGTCTTGTGCACTTTATGGAATTTATGCACAGTTCTCACAGTTCTCAGGACACAGATATTAATAAACAAACACAAGACTGTAAAAAAAAATGATAGAGGAAAACTACCCTGGTGTTATAGAGCACTAAATGCTGAATATTAGATGGGTATTAGGTATCAGGGGAGAAAAATCCAACTTTCTATCTTTAAGCATAAGAAAGTACCAAGAGCAACCTAGAAACTCCATGAGACATCTTTAATTGAACATTGTTTTAGAATAGGCTGGAAATAAATATCTGTCAGCTATGTTCAAGATAGGCTCATTGCATTTGTGAGCATAGATCTTTTGAGAATATTTTACCAACTTTACATTTCTGTCTTGCTCTGCATGATAACTTCCATGCATACTTAAGAAGGAACAAACAGAAGGAAAAACTAAAAAAAATTAATGAAATAAGAAATTTAGAAGGTGGGAAAAACATGCAAGCAATATTAAGCATAGAATAAAATATTAGATTCCCAGAAAACTCTAAGTTTCATAACTTACATAGTGTGTAAAGAATAGAGATTGAATCTCTGTGAGAGGGGAAAATGTGCAGATCTCCCCAGAGCTTTGCAAACAATGCATTAAGTGACTAGAAAAGTGGATCAAGATGTTCAAGGACAGTTAGTGATTGTCCATACTCAATGTGAATTATCTTACAGGAGCTGTTTATTGGAAGCTTTTATCCTTCCTCTCTGAAAATGAGCTTCCCTTTGTAGGATCTCTAACTGACCAACCAAAACCAAACATTAGACTTTAGCACATGTGGTTTCCATATAGAAAGGAATGCGAGCTTCAGTTTTAAGGCTACACAGGTTTCATCCCACAGAGCTTTAGTGCAGTAATAGCTGGCCCATTCCTTCCATCTGAGCTCTGTTTAGTTCCTCAGCTGGTAGGTTTAAGGAAAGCTGGCCAAGGGCTCCTTTCCACTTTCTCATCTCTGCCCCAGAGCAAAGGAGAACTTATTACAGCCTGCCCTCCGCAGCCATGACGTCTGTAAGTACTCCCCATTCTGCTTTACACATGGATGTGGCATGTCAAAACACCTCCTTATCCTTCAGCCGATGCCATGAAGAAGATAGGATGACTATTTTCTGCTACAGCCTATAATGGCATTATTAACATGATGTCAAGGGAAAAATCAGAAAAGTAAAATGGCTGCTGTTTAAGTCTCCTTAAACTGGATTTTATTGTTGAGTGATTCAGTTGTTAACATGTGGTGTGATTGATCCAGAACATTCCACTTCATCAACAGTTTAAAGTATAAAGACATTCTGCAGAAGGCTTCCCAGGACCTGCTGAAGTGATTCACTACCACGTAAACATGGAAAACAGAAGTAGTGTCTTTTCACCCATCTTTTAAGACAAATTGCTCTCTTAAAGAACTGAGCTCTGTTACTAATAACTTCCTTAGTAAACTAGCAAAAAAAAAAAAAAATCCAAACCCAACGTACCCAAGTTACTAATAATACTGCATTTTGAAACATTACCAGTCCCAGCAGGATTTTTCCACTCTTCTTCTAGAACATGTGTTTGGCATGACAGATGTGAGCTTCCTCAGACTTTCTGAGCTGGCGGGATAAAGCCAGCTCCAGTCCAGAAGCCATAGCGTCACACAAATACAGCACTGTGTCTGAGCTAATAAACCCGGCCTAATAAGGTTACAGTTTGCAGACTAGACCTAGTTTAGTCCAGCCACTTTGGCAGTTTCACAGAGGAGGCTTCTGCACCTGTCTTTGTAGACATGGCTGTAATTATTTAGGAGGAACTCTTATTCCCCAACACAAAAGTCAAAATACGTAGCATAACTGCTGAAGGATTCCTTTGGTTGATGATATCTGGTAAATCTGACTTCACAGAAAATTCTGAACTAATATTTGAGCACCAATGACTCTTCTGGCTTCTTCTGTCAGTGTTACACAGTTTGGAGGTCTTCTATAAGATTTCCAAATGGCATTTCACTCATAGGGCTTGCAATTTACAAAATCTCCTTCTAACAGAGCTAAAGGTGGTAGATCTGGACACTGACCTTCCCATGATAAAGTCCTATTAATATTTTCAACTTTCAGTTTTCAGTAAGGAGCCACTGAAAAGCCAGAATAGTCCCCCTGATACATTTACACAGCGAATAAAGCAGTTAAAGGAAAGCAACATATAGCAGGGAAAAAGAGTAACACATGCCAGAAGATTCTCCAGTAGAAAAGGGACCCAAAGGAGAAGAGTAAAATTCAGATATGCACTCATCTCCCTCCACTTCAATTGACTGATCACAGACAAAAAGAGAAAATTGTTCAGATTTTATGAAACTGTTGAAGCATGTCAGCACATCATTATAGCCCTTACTATAGCACTTATTATTCCACTATATTATAGCTCTTATCTCATTGGGTTTTTGCATGCGTAGGCATGCCCATGGCATGGAGTTATTGCCTTCTACCATTCTTGAGTCTTCTTTCTCTTGGTATCCTGAGAAACGGAGAGTTACATTACTATATCCCAAGGCCTGTCACCACTTCAGTTTACTTAATTGTAGTTTATAAACTTCTTGTTTAGTCTTTCTTGAGTAAAAAAAAATGTTTTCTTTCTCCTTTCCTTTTCAAATCTCTTCCTTCCATTTCTGTCCTTTATTTTCCCTCTTCCAAGTATCACTTTTTCTTATTTCTTCCTTCTCTCATACTGGCTCTCCTGGTTTTTTAATTTCTCCTTCAAAAACCATGTTTTTTCCTATGCCCATCCTAACAGGTCTAACTCCCCACTACTTTCCATGGCAATCCATATCCTTTTTCTAACCCTCTCAGTTCCCATGTGGATCTCACCAACCTTTTCCTACCCTAACCATTTTCCTTACTCATTATCTTCCACTTTTCACTCTTCCAGTTAAATGACAGCTGACATTCCCTTTAATGAGCCAACATCATAGGACAGGAAACATTGAGCAGCAGTGCTTTGCAGCATAATGTTAAGGAGGATAAGCTAATGCACTGGGGGAGAGAGCATGTAGGGAACAGGACTGCAATTCAGGCTCCTGAGCATCCTATTTGGGTGGCCCTCCAGACAACACAAGTTTCCTGAGGATCATAAGGATGAGTAAGCCCACTGCAGATGGGTAGAACAACTGGCAACCACACAAGATCTAGTTTTAAAAAACACAAAAGTATAATTAAAACCTGACATTACTAATAAGTATACTCCATTTTAATCAGAACACAACTCTTTCAAGTATCCCGTCAGTTATGAAATGTCTAGCATGAAATGAGTCATAGAATGCTAAAGTTTTATCACAGAAATGTTGTTTCCCAACTATGAACTTTTAGATGTAATTGAGACACAATAATTGCAACTACTTGTTTTGGAGAGAAACAAAGTCAGTTAAAGATTAAAATCTTGATCCTGGCCACTGGAACCATATGGAAAGTAGTGAATGCACTTTAATTTAATGCTTACTGTATTACTTACTTAGAAGATGGTGCTACAAATCTGATATTGGATACTTAAATTTAAGTGTTTGGAGGATACTTAGCCTTATACGGCTTATCTATATTTTCTGCCTAACAAGATTTCCCCTTTCCCTCTAGAAGAGTTTAAAAAATCATTATAACTTAAAAACTTATTTCATTAGCTTTAATGGAGGTTGTGTGTTTAAATTCCTTCATAATGTTATCTCAAGGACTGTTTTTGCCTCAGAAAATTTTCTTCTCTTTGGTAAGATGCCAGAAAAAATAGCGTGAAATGAAGCTTCAATTAGTTAAGTCATGATATGTCAACACTTGTATAAACTCCTTAAGGCAGGGGCTGCAAGCAAGGAGTTTTTATTCTTTTTACAGCATCTGTCATAGTGAGGTCTCAGTCTGAAGTGCTTTGGAAAAAAAATCATGATGCTTGTTTCAGGTTCTTCATGGATCTGCTACCAGATCAATAGATTAAAATTACACACATTACTAGTGCTGTCTAAGACCAGTCACTTGTTTTAGGGTTTTCACTTAGTGACACCCTGTTTGGATTGTCCTGTTGCTTTGTAAGAAAAAAAGTGAATCTTTTGGGAACAGTCAATCAAACATAATTTGCTCTGTCACTCACCCATCCCTGCGAAAATGCCTTCAACAGAAAAGAAAATTGAAGTTGAGAGAGTCGACCCTGAACCACACACAATCACCAAAATGGACCACAGAGTGACAGCTCTTAGACCAGCACTGAGCATCCTCCTTTCATTACTTGTTGTTTTGGTTTTTTTTCAGCTACTGTTAATTGCTTTACATATCTCTGAATACATTTCTAGGCAAACCAATGCAATTACAGAGTGTCCTAAATTAATGAGACCATCATCAGGGGAAATACTCATCTGCAATATTGCATTTTAGTTCAAGTGCCCATAGCCACAGGCCACTGCTTCTCACAGAAGCAATTACTCACAATTACTTGCAATTAATGCAGTCTGAATCAATCATACAGTGAGTATGGACCAAATGCAATAATTAATGCTAGTTTGCATTTTAGTATTTCCACTAAATACATTTGCTCCTCTTTCCTTATTGAATCTACTACAATTATATGTGCATGTTGTCCCCAGAAATAGAACTATGTTTTGACAGGAGGTCAAAGGAGTTTAAACTTTTTCTGTAATCAACAGTTTACATATCCTGAAAGAAAAAATTCCAAGAACTTCCAAGCTGGTACAATTCCTGTATCATTTTTGATCCTACTCCATCAGTAAAAGGATAGTATGATCGTAGCCTATTAGCCTATGCAACGGCTTACAAAGAAGCAGTCCCAAAATGCTTACCTGCACAGATATGCTCCGGCACCCACTGGATTTTCAGCCCTTCCCTCTGACAGGCTCGAGAGTATGCCAGGAACGACTCACAGTAGCAGTTTTTATGGATTGGACACTCACACATGTCTGTCACACAGGACCTGCAGAACAAAGCCCCAAAACAAATAAGAAAGGAATGCTTTGGCCTGAGGTTTGGAGTTGTTTACTCTCCAGTCACATAACATTCAATGCCACAGCCACTTGTGCCAAATGGCAAGAAAGTTAAAGGCATCCCCGCAGTTACATCCTAAGGACTCAGCTCTTTTTTGGTGTGCTACTTTAATGCAGAGAAGCCTTCAGAAAACCAGGGAACCACACAGAAACAGGGAGTTGAGAAGACCCAAGAAATGTCAGGTAGAGAGGACTGAGACCACAATGGGGGAAGGCAAACTCCATTTTTGCAATAATTTTGTGTCAACATAAGATAAAAACTTTTTATTCCTAGAAAGTAATAATTTAATAATTTTACTAACAATCATAACAGTTGTGTTGAAAGTAAAAATTCTGTAGGCAATGAACACATGTCCCTCTGTGCAAGAGATGATGCCTTCTCTCCAGGTTACCTCCAGACTCTTCCTGCTTTCAAGGCGCGAAAACAGCTGTATGCCTGTTTTCTCAGCAGCATCACTACTAAGTGCCAGACTTCAAGATACTCCAAAGGAATAGGGTTGATGCAGCATAACTGAGCAGTTTCATGCTGGGAAATCCCTCAGGCATGGTTCATACTGCCCAGTCTCTTCTTCCATTGGATTCTTATGTGGAAGTACCACAATGATAGAGAGCAAAGCTGCTAACATGGCCTTATGAGAAACCACTACTGTGGATGTCACCACTATATTTCAAGTTAGCTCTTTCAGAACATGTGCCTGTTTGGCACAGACCTAAAATATAACTGGCAAGAGCCAAGAGATTTGCAGTTGGTGGTTTCTCCATATGCAAAATGCTTAGACATTTCTGCATGTGTAGCAATGTGAATTCAGAAATGTTGAGTATCTACTGCTCTCAGCAGAAATATTAAAAGACAGGGATAAGGTGAAGGATAAGGGAAGGAAAAAAATTCATGCCCTCAGTTCCTCTGCTTTCCACTGAAGATGCTCTGTGCATGAACCTTGGGTGTCAATGGTCAAGGCCCCCCTGCTCCACGCATGTTCAGGGGCTTTCCCATTTCTGAGAGGACAAAGGCAGAAATCCACTTGCAAAGATGAAGGACTGAAATGAAAAATGTGCTCTTCATGTTAGTTGCTCTTCCTATGGACCATAATATGAATTGTCTATAGGAAAAGGATAGATACTGGCTTTGTTTCCCAGAAACTTTTTCCACAGCAGAAGAGGTAATAGCTTGGAAACAGTGCAAGAACCTCAGCCAAAGTAATCAGGAGCTCTAATGCCCATATGTTGCTCTAGAGTAATGGAGAACCCTTTGTGGAATTAGATCGGGTGGGTGGAAGCAAGGGTGTGACTTCACCTGCAGATACAGGAGATTTTAACCTAAAACCATGGGACATGTACAGACATGTAGGGGCATATCCAGACATGTTCCTAGTTCTCATTTGTGATTGGACCTTTGCTCTCAGATACCCCTATGTATTGTTAAGTTGGCCACTCCCACAGGTCTTTGGACGTGTGCCTGCAAGTAGTGCAGACATTTGTTATTTTTGTTACATTAAAAGCCTTTATGTTTTGAGGCCACTCCATTGTTCCTGTCTCTCTATACTTATGCCACGGACTTCTCAGCTGGCCTGGTCCTGTTATAGTCACCAGAGGATGGTTATAACCCCTTATTCAAAACTAGGAGAAAGGATTAGTGATCCCTTGAACACAGACAAGCCTGTTTCTATAAGTCCAACAGTGCCCCTTAAGAGGAGCATTTCCCCACGCCAAAGTCATCGGCTGCTTCAGTGACCTGAGAGTTCTGCTTGACATTTTCATGAGTTTTAAAAAATTTACTCTCAGTGCATCCTCAATATGAAATTACCTAAAAAATCACTGTGACAAGTAACACAAGTGCTAATGTAAAAAGGTTACCTATCCTTGATTCACTGATATATATGTGCTGTGAATAAACAGAATTGCTTTGGATCAAATATATAACATGCTTGTATTTACAGACCAGTTGTTTTCACTTGCAATAACTTTACTTTCTAGGGACAATGCAATTTTATTTCACTTTAGTACTGCGGTAGGTCCCTTTACATCTTTTCCAGTAACAGATGTTGCTGTATGCATATCACAGCTGATAGGCAAGGAATAGATTAGCACAACATCCTTGGGATGGTTTGATGTTGTCAGCTGATAAAAGACCTTGTATAAGCACAAAGGGTCACCTTTTTTTCTGACACACTAAATAACTTCACACTGTTTCCTTTGGCCACAATATCTCTTTGTGATCTCTTCCTAGTATGTCTGCAGCAGGCACTGCTCCATATATCCCATGGAATTTAAGAGGTGCATGTCTCATTTTTACAGTGAAGTAGATACTTGCTTGCTACTGAAACAAATCATTATCACAAAGAAAGTCTGTATATAATCTCTGTAAACAGTTGATTATCAAGGTACAATTTTATCATGTTTTTGTTTCTGTGCCAACCCCCTTTATGAAACACATTTCACTGCTCTCCACTTAGATTTAGTCATTATTGATGTCCATGGTGTTTAGGGATGCTTGCCAGTATCAGCTTGGCTATGTGTTCACCAACTTCCTTGACTAAGAACTTATAAAACCCTAAATCTGAGGTATTTCCTCTGCTTTTTAGAGCATACTTTATTTTTTGGATTTTACCATTACTTGGAGAGAGATGTCACCTCTTGCACTGAGTCAATGAACCTATAGCTACCTCAGATGCTTGCATCAGAAAAAGATGTAAGACCAGGAAAAGTCCAGGCTCACCATCAATCACACAAGCTTTTTTAACAGTTAACAGGTGTGAGGTTTTGAAAAACTTCTGGATGCCTCTTGGGCACCCACACTGTCGGGTTGGGTTTTTTTTTTTAAAGCTAAGCAAGTTAATAGTTGTTATAGAGTTATTTATTGTAGAAGCACATTAGTTTTAAAGATAAAAACAAAGCAAAGCAATGGCATAAAAACAATGCAAAATGCACATGGCATAAAGCCATGGCATAGAGCACCAGCTTTCCTTAATGCATGTTCTTTTATAGAAATTTTCCAACTAGTTAAGACACAAACTTGGACTACTACTTTTTAACTTATTAGAATTTTCGTTTTTTAGCATGCCAGGCTACGTATAAACTACGTGCATGGCCTATCTTGTTCTAACTGAAAAATGTAAGCAATATTCTTAACTCTATTATGTCTGAAGCTAGGTTCTTGGAGCCTCTAAGGAAACACTAGTATGTTTTTCAACTTTCACTAGAACATGTACTACTTCTCAGGCATCTAAGACCTTTTACTCACTAAAAGCACTTAAAACTTATTCTATTTACTTATGCTACAACCTAAACCTTTACCTCTGCTTTATGTGTGAGAGGTTTAACATACTTCAATCCATCCAATGGCTTCAATTTAATCTCTGCATTCTGATCTCTCTCTGAAGGACTCAGAGAGACCCCTGACTTACTGACTACAACATCTCCCCCTCCTCTTTGAACTAGAAAGATTTTTTTAATATTCAACTAATTTAATTTATCAAACAAACTATTTAACTTCAATTATTTTGTGACGTATTATCTGCAGGTTTCTTGGCTTGGCAAGGCTAGCACAGACCCTGGCAAAGCCTAGGCAGAGTCTGAGGGATTAGGGAAGGGAGGGCACTGTTCCCAGTCTGCAGGAGGGCAGTCATGCTCTTTGAGAGAGAAGAGCTTATCTCCTAAATGTATGTGAGCAACGCCAGCCATTAACCTTCGGCATTGACACGCTCCAGAGTGAAACATCTGAGCTTTGGCTGGGATCAGCACTATTTGCCACGTTGTTCAGCATAGGTGTCCACTGAGGAAGGTAGCATGCTTTGTGAAACACGAAGAATCTGCTGATTCATTACATACTGAATTGCTTGTGTAATTTTTATTTTCATTTCATATTTAATCCAGGTGACAGCTGCTGGGGGTCAAGCCCTAGGTTTAGCTGAGGAGCCATTGTCAGATTGCAGCAGTTTTATTAATGAATTACAATTTCTAACTATTTGTAGATTTAATTAAATTAATTAATGTTAAATCAAAAATGAGAGTAAAGAAACCTATATCCACAGCTGCCAACCCTAGTGAATAAAAATAAAATCTACTTTAATTTCTTAATGAAAGGGCAGTTCTGAGCAAGGACATAGATGTCCATTCTCTGGGGGCTGGCTCTGAGGGAGGCCTGCCAATGACCCAAGGCCAAGCTTTGACTTTCAATCTGTATTTTTATCCAAACTTCTTTACTTCTTGCACTTAATTACATTTCTCACATTTATTACTTGTATAGTTGTGTTAAAGGGCTATTATGGGATGATTTACTAAGCAAATTGAAAAACTAATTTTTCTGTGCTACCCTAATCCTTTCCCCTTGCAAAAAAGTTCAGTATGCCTACAGCATTTATTTTTTTTATCCTCTCCAGTGATACATTTCAAAAAATATTCTCTGCTTCCCCAGAGTCTGCCTTCTTATCATTCTTCCTTTGAATCTGATAAAGAGATTTGGTGACACCAACTGCATGTATGCACATCTTATCAGTACTCTGACTGGACTGTTCAAACAACAAAAAAATATATTTTAGTAAAACTTTGGAATTATGCCAATAATTAAGCTCTACTGACAATTTACTGTACTGCACAGTAATGGAGACTTTGGGTCTTGTGGGGTATTGTGACTTACCAAGAACAAAGCATTTGCAAAAATGAAGTAAAAACATATTAGAAACGTAAACCTCAAAATATTACAGTCAGACAGAAATAATCCCAAAAGAATGCAGCACAAGTTACTTATAAAATGAAGCTATTTTACTAGCTATGGAAATACAAAGAAGATACTTCAGGCAATCTTAGTTCTGCCCTCAGAAATCATACAGAGATGCAATGATATTGTGGTCCAAAAGAAAATTACATTTATTTTAAGGATATATTTACATTTAGAAAAAGGAAAACACTTGGATGTGACCCTGCACTTTAT